TAAGCATAATTTTAACTCAGTCACAATGCAGCTTCACAGTTAATTTTAAAAATGCAAATGTTAGAAATGTTATATTTTTAAGAACGTAACTATAGTAGCCACCACTTCTATGCAAAAGCCCTGCCTGCTTTCTGCAAACAGTCTCGTAACACAAAGCACTGCAACCACAGTTTTAAAAGCTAGTAACAGCCTGGATACCACAGTAAACAGAAAAATTTCTATAACAAGACACGTTTGAAAGCTAACAATTTCTAACTTATTTAGAAGGCTATAAAATACTTGGCTGCGGGTATAAATAGTCTCTCTTACCTAAAACTTGTCAGCAGAAAGATCCTTCTCCATTGTTGTCACCTCCAGTGCCCCCTCTTGCCACCATGGAGATTGGTTCTGCTATGTTTATTGCTCTGTGCCTCAGTTACAGCCGTGACACTGACACGAATCTGCCGGCAAAGGGGTGTGTGCGAGTGTGTGCGTGTGTGTGCGAGGAGAGAGCCCACTGACTTCGGGACTGGGAACCTAAACCTCAGGCCAAGCCAAGGCTGGATGAAAATGATCAAAGCTCTGTCCCTCATCAGCAGAGCAGACAAGGTTTTGTCCCCCCCCCCAGCCCCCCAGAGCGAAGCAGGGCTGTCAGTAGGGATTCCCACTAGCAAGCCTCTAGCAGAGGCAGACCGTCTCCTGATTGCTAGTGCCTGCCCAGCAGCCTGTGCAGAATACAGGTAGCTATTGTTCCTCAGACAGATATGTAGCCAGCCACTCAGACTCTGACAGATCTCAACAAACCAGTGAGCCTGCCTTCATTTTAACTCTTTATATACTAGTGCTTTACTTTTTTACTAAGGTCTCCTTTTGCTCTGGAGAAGGAGGGGCAGAAAAAGCAAAAAATACGTAAGACCATCGGTACATTGTTCTGGTTTTGTTATGGAAAGTGTTTCTGAATTTCGTGTACATGGGAAGAAATCCTACGTAAATTTAGAAGCATCGATTTTAATTTTGAAATCTGATCTAGCCTACTGTTGGGCAACACAGCAATAGTACACTTCAGCAGTCAAACAGGATTCCAGCTCTGTAAGGTAAATAACTCCTGCTCTGCCGCCTTTTGAATTCTCATAATTCATGAGGAAATAAAACAGTTTGAATAGACACTGTGCATCTCTGCACAAATATTCTAGTTATTAAAAAATAGTGTAATTTAATGCAAGTGCTTCGTCATGGGCAGGGTTTTTTTCCACCAGAAATCAGTTTGCAGCACTGAATGGAAATGAAGTTAGGGTCCCCAACACAAAACTGTTACAGCAAGGACGTAGCTAGCCAGTTAGTTGCAATAAGAGGAAGCAGATACTCATGTCAGTCTTGCAGCGATCTTATTTTTTTGTAAGCAGATTTTACTTAATAGAAAGGATTTTTATTTTGTATGACATGAATCTTAAGAATGTCTTCACAATGACATGATCAATGAATCTGTTAGATAAGTAAGGTGTCCTGATATTTATATTCTGTGCTTGACTATTAGCAAACAATTTGTTGTCATATGAAAAACTAAAGATTCTGCATTCTGTTTAAATATTGTATAAGTTCAGCCCAGGTATACACTCCAATTTTAAACATAATTTTTTTCCCTTCTTCAGTTTAAGCCAGTCTTAACTTTATTTCAAGCAGGTTGCAGTAGGATATACATACTTTCTTTTGAGTGGGTTGGTTGAATTGTTTAAGGCAATTTTAAGGTGTGAAGGTTGAAGATTACAACATTTTCCCCACAACAATAAAATCTGATTTATAAAATACAGTTTTATGGTTTTGTTTTGGTTTGAATATTAAGACTGCTAACACAAGTGCAAATTAGTCACACAATGTCAAAAACAATATTTAGACCTGGCAGAACCTATCAATTCAGACAAGACTCAACACAAATTACACAAATAATCATTTTATCAGCAACGTCATAAAAATCTGGATGCAATTTATTTGAAAAATTGCCATTGGTCATTTTATTGTGTTTCAAAGTAATCTTTTCTTAATGTTTGAGAATTTTCTTACACTTCTACAAAAATGCCAAGTGTCCAGTGACTTTCAGGATTCTTGCAGTACAGCAAAGAAACAAGCAGAGAAGCAAGAAAGCAAATCAGTGTTACACAGGGCAATGCACCCTGTGTGGCAGAATACCCCTAGAATACCAGATGTGGTTTGAAGCAGGATTCAGCATTCACAAACCCTACTTCTATTTTATCAGTCAGTATCTGACTTAAGGGAAGTATCAGTCCTTAAGGACTATTGAACTGTTCTTATTTTTTTTTCTCAGCAACTTATAGAAGTGCCCAGCAGCATGTAGAAAGCTTTCACTTAAAAATATATTTACAAATTAATAGTGTTCTTCGATAAAAAGTGATTTTATTACAAATTCTGAAGCATTCTGCACCCGTTTCCCTTCTCTTTTGAGCAAACCAGTAACACTGGCCACTAAAACCTTAAAGCGTAACTAAAAATTGTTGGGGGAGTATCTGCCAGGCAGCCTCTGTGCTCCTAGGTGCTGGTGTAACTCCCCAGAGGCTCAAGGAGCTGTGCCAGCTGACAAGCTGGCCACAAAGCTGCAACACTGGTGGATAGCAGAGAACAACCCGGTCCTTTCTACCCTACACAGCACTGCAGAATGGGGGCCACCAATACCACCCTGTGAAAAGAGCAGTCTTAAGCACAGGTATTGATCACGTGAGAAGTTTCTGAGCATGGCCGTATCTGATGGCTAGCCAAAGACAACACATGTCTTTGCCTAGGCCTTGCTCAGTATATGCTGGTTATATCTGCTGCCTAGTCTTTGGCTAGGCCTTGCTCCTGGGGTATTTCACATTGAATGGAGTCTCCCACACATCTTCCAGTGCTGTTGTGATTGACTCCTGGCTGGGTAGCTATACAAATGCACATGCTGTTCAAAAACAACATAGTATTAAAAAGCATAAGGTTGTGGGAGAAAGAAAAGGAAAACTTTCCACAGTGAGATAATGACAGAGCTGGGCACCTCACAGGAGGATGGAGAAATCTGTGCTTACTGTGAACACATGACTTCCTCCCCAGAAACCCTTTGCTGTTTTTACTGGAACAATCTCCGGGCTGTGTTCGTGAGGAAAACAGCTTTCTTTGGGTTTTCAGACAATACTGAAGAAAAAATACTTTCCAAAAGACCTTCTGCACCTCTGATGGTTGCCTTTGAGCAGGAAGATGGCCCTTCTAGTCAACTCTACCACAAGAAACTGACAGCAACCACCTTGCTATAAAGTACAAATGGTGTGATTTCTGTAAAGGACAATATTTGTTTATACTGATAAGTGCTTAAAAAAATAATCTTTTAACAACAAAAACAAGCGCAGACTGCTGCTTGAGAAACAGGCATTGTGTGCACAGTGTTGATATTTCATCTCATGTAAAATAGAATATTTTAACAGTTTGAAATGATTTCCCAGAAGGAGAGCATAAAGAAAACCATGTCTGCCCTGCATAATAACCTTCTGCCTGAGAATGTTGCTTGTGACCACACGGCTGTGGTGATTTCTTTCAGCTAACCCACAGTCATACTTGCATGAACAAAGCCACATGCCAGCACCACGTATCCATCTTCCTTTAGAGATCCCATTTTAATGATTCTTTAGTAAATAGCTTTGTATTAAGAGATTATTCATACCAGATATAAAAAAGCCCAGTGTTTCAGTAACTGTTATAGAGGTGAAATAAACATCACATATCCCAGCACGTAACCTCAATTAACCTTTTGCCTCAGTTTGTAGGCAAATTATCTATAAAAAGTGAGCTCTCCCTCTGATCAAAAATCAGGTTTAATACTTCATGTGGTTTGTGGCTAGTTCTCTATACAAAAGAATATAACTCAAGGAGATCTTTATGAGCTGCAATTTAAATTTAACTGACTTTGTCAGTTCTTCTTTTACTTAACATAAAAGGTATTGTAAAACATGATATGAGAAAGCACTGATACTTAAAAACAAATTACTTAAAATGTGGTAACTAAACTTTATTTATTACAGAAAATACTTTAAAAGATAAGATTGGAAATAGCAAGATATAGAAATGTTTAGACTGGAGCAAGTGCCCTGTTTGCTTAGGATGTAGGCAAGTGCAGCACATAGTTTAGAAAAGAACTTATGGTTAATATATGCTCAACTATAGTTGTACACTGTGATATAAAACAACCAGGTATTACAGTTGATAGTGTTCTTAGGTTTCCCAAAATTTTATGTATATATAACAAATGAAATAGCTTTTCTTTAAAATGCAGTGCTGAAGAGCACAACTTTTTTTCCCCTCCATTCTTTCTCAGAAATATAATTAGGGTATTGCATTCTCTACTAGATGCTTTGTGAAAGCAAATGTCAGGGATTAGGACTCAGCAAGATAATTACGAACATTCTACATAATAACATAGGAAACCAGCATCAGAGAATCATTTCACCAGTTCATGTGCCTCTTAGAGATTACACTTTTGATACATGATCTGTTGGGAAAAATGGGTAGAAGTTGACAGTACATGTATCTTCCCCCTCTCCTGCCGACCCCACTCTCCCCTCAGCATTCTATTACTTTAGAGTTAGTTTCAGGATATTGAACCACGGTTCAAAATAAAGCTTTTCATTTGTAAAGCTTCAGATTCCAAATCCCAAATGCATACTTCACAAAACCTCCCTCCATTCAACACTAAGCCCCAACCAAAAGGGCAGGTTTGTATATTACAGGGTACATTTTCTATTTATAAAAAGTTTATTTTTAAAATCAATGCTGGACCGTGTTCCATATTGACACAAGAAATAAACAGAATGAGATGTTTCCTAAAAACAAAGCACAACAAAACACAATATAAATGTGATGAACATGAAGAGAGTTCCTCTGGTTTAAGTAGCCAGAGTACATTACAGATGCTCCAGTTTGACAATTCACTTGTTATCAGGAATTTGTATTTAGCAATTGTTCTCATCAACTCAGAACCAATGTGGACCTACCGCTTTAAGTGCTGATCCATGGGAATTGCTGGTTTCAAAGGGCCTGAAGTAAAGTAGCTGGTTGGAGGAAAAACAGGCAGGACTGCCCCTGTAGCTTCAAACTGCCGTGTATAGTTTTCTTCCTTGGAATCTTTTGATAAAAGTCAGAATACAACATGATTTATTGATGTAGCAAAGTCATTACAATTCAGAGCAAAAAATGTTATTGGACTTCCCTCCAGCTAGTGCTGTTTAAGGAAGCCTTTAAAAAGCAATTTAATTCCATTCCACAAAGTCAAATTTTCTCCACAGATAATTGGTTTTCATTATATGTATAAAAAGCTACAATGAAGCCAATGTGTCAAACTATATCTTTTTTAAGATTTATATTTATTACTGAAAGACAGGCCTGTTTTTGCAAGAATCGTATTGTCTCTGTTTTTCCACTGTTAACCTGAAAAGTCTTACTGTTAACATAAGCACACATTATAGTAACATCCACCATAAAGTCTGAATGTAATCAAGAACTCCTTTGCCCTCTCACATTTATAGCCAAATAATTCCATGCTGTCATCTGTCATAGATTAAATCTTCATATACAAACTTGCTCAATATGAGTTAAAACATTCACACAGTTTTCAGAGCTTGAGACACTTAGTTGGAAAGTACCTGGCTTTGGTCATTATAAATATATTTCAAAACTGCTATACTAAAACAATATTAATGCTTGTTATTCTGTTTATATATGTAACATATAATAGTGCCTATTACCACAGGACATGTTTATATTCAAAAAGACTAGGAACAGCCGTGCTGTTTTGAGCATCTTGAAACATCAAACTTCCAAAGCTAATACACTAATTACAGCCGAACAACAAAACAAAGAAATTCAAAAGCTATCAAAGTTTGAAAAACAAAAACGGGCATTAAATTTTTCCATAATTACAAAACTTTATCAAAAAATAAACTCATTCAAAGCCCTAATCCTACTTATGAGTTACATATGACTAAAAATAATCTCCAAGCTAAAGCAACCAAATGCAATAAAAATACTCACCCTCATGCTCCTTATATTTCATGTCTTTTTTCTTTTCCTTTTCTTTCTTTCTCTTCTTTTTTTCTTTCTTTCTTTCTTCCTTTCTTCTTTCTTTTTTTTTTTTTTTTTAATTATTGTTTTTTTTCCTAATAAGACCAGGAGATTGAAATTTAAAAGCTTTAGTTACTGTCCTTCTGTTCCTGCAGCTCTTCAGTTGTACAGAGGAAACTTGGCTGGTATTGTTTAGAGAGAAAGACAGTGGCCTGTGTAAGCCAAGAGACTCTGCACTGTCTGAGGATCTCTGCAGTGCTCTTAAACTCCTCCACTGAGACAGGTATTTGTGCTGTCTGTTGTCCAAACAGGCTCACCAGAGCTCTCACAGTCACCTTCATTTTTCAGTCTTGCAGGCCCTATCTGCTGAGAGGAGAGAGGTTTCTTCCTTTCAGTATTTATTTGCTTTTGGATTGGAGGAAGAGGCTCAGAGATTTTCAATTTGAGATCAAAGACACGCACGTAATGGGACGCAACGGAGTTTTCTGAATTGTGCTCAGAATAGTAGTCCCTGAGTTCCCACATTCAGTGCTCCCAACTCCAGAAGCTTCATGAGTAAAGAAAGAAAGATAGATAGACAGATAGATAGATAGATGCACACAGACACACACACACATTTTAAATATATTAGTTTTCCCCCCTGCAGCACTGCAGTCTCTCTATTGTCAAATAATAACTGTATCTGAAAAGAAAGCACTTAATAAGGCTAAGGTCAGACTGCTTAGACTTGGCATTTGCTGCGATAACAAATCAGAAATGATAGCATCGTACAGATTTATGAATTTTTTGCCCCCGCAGTCACAAACATCAGACGTTTACTTTATAAAGAAAGCTTTTAGATTCTTCCTGCAGTTTCCATAGTGATTTCATTTTTCCCCTTTTATCACAGATTGGCTGAAGTACTGCTACCCTTTGTGCTTTAAAAGGCTTGTGCTACCAACTGTCGATAGAAAGGCACTGTAGCAAAAGCACACATGCAACACATACTGTCAAAAATAATTGAAATAGATAAATGCTAGCTAAAAAAGGTTTCCGTATTTTCTCTGCTTGGTCTGAACACTACCGGAGAATAGTATTTCATCTAAGTAAATGTAATTAACTTGAGCCAACCATACTCCTGTTCTGTTTCCCTTAACCTATGAAACTTCTATTAGAGCACTTGTCTCACACAAAATAATCTCTTCACAAAAAGCTTTAATAGAGCTTACATGGTATAAAATGTCTGCTTGTTAGATATAAATTAAAGTAATTTCATTCATTCTTTTTGAATCTTTCAAAGACAATGTTTATGCCAATGATATTTTTCCTCTTTCTCATAAGTTTACTCTTTTAGAGAATTGGTTTAAGAAACAATTACACTGTTTCTGGCAAAGCAAACAATGCTCTCTGTTGCTGGAAAGATAACCACCTTTCAAAGTAAGCCTAGAGGATTAGTTTCTATTTAACCCCTTGCTAAACAAATGAGACAGTCATCTCCTCAACAAAACAGAACTCAGCTATATAAACATTATTTTTTAATTCAGTTATCATGCCTTTAAAAATGGAGTCTTTAGATTACAGAATGCATCCACAGTATTTCCCTACCACTTTTTCAACCAGCTTAATAGAAAATGGGTATACTGCTAATCCTAGCCAGTTGCTTCAGCCTCATGAGAGTTTCTATTCTTATAAGTCAGAAACGGCCTATTAAAAATACTGAAATCATATCATGTAGTGATAAACATATTACAAAAACTCTTTGAACTGGAAATTTTCCAGGTGACTATAAAAATACTGAGAATGAAATATTTGTCCCTGTGAATTTTGCATTAACTTCCTTGTTTTTTTACAAAACTGGAAAAAAAAATCCACAGGATACAGTACAGTTAAACAGATATAGTAATTTAGGATAAAAAAGAAAATACCAGGCAATGTTCTTTTGGATATACTTATGAAAGTGATTTATTTCCAAATAGATTATCTATGCCAAACCATCAAATTCCCTATTTTCATGTCATCTTTTTATGAGGGGAGTTATGCAACTGACTTTTGTTGTTGGGAAATTAAAATCTAACGTTAGGCATTCACATCCATTAAATAAGCAGTAACTGCAAACATGAAGTATGTTAATACTTACTGTCGATAAAGTTCATTGGACGAAAGAGTTTGCAGCATGATGTAAGTGAAGAACTAAATGTAAATCGATTATCAATAGAGATTTGAAATAAAAAACAGACAGTTATTAAGACTGTGTTGATTACTGACATGCTCCACAAGTGGTCCTGGCAAAAATCAATACAGACAGATGTAGCAGTTTTGGGATCTGATCTGAGCTGATCTGCCCTGGGATATGAGGGTGAGCTAGTGGAGCTCCTGTAGTTTCTCTTGCCCCTCTGTAAGCAACCAGTGAACAGTCACTTTTAGCAAACTTGACAGAATCTGTACCTGTTCTTCATACCTATTTTTCCACCATCTCAAGGGTAATTTAATGAGCCAATTAAACAATGTATTCAAGTAATAACTCAATCTGGCTTACAATAATTAATATAGTCTTTTTGAAGATTTTTTGTTCACAAAACAAAAACATAAAGCAAACAAAAAAACATGCTAAACAGTAATTTCTGTCCAAAATTTCTGAGAGGATGATAATTTTTCACAATCCCTTGTTTGTTAGTTTGTTTGTTTGTTTTAACATTATGTGTAACACAAAGCTGAATCATTCTAGGAGAATTTCTGTTCAAGGAGGAAAAATTGCTGTAGTTTAAAAATAACTCATCAATAAATAAATAAAAAATATGTAAAGGTTTTGTTCCAGAAGAGCAAGGATGAGAAATCTGAATTATACAATATAAGAAACATTGAAATCAGTTTCATTGTACCTTGAAACACTAAATTATGTTCTTGCAGAACCTTCTTTCCAGACTTTACATAAGTCAGATATTCAAACAGTTCCTGCACCTTTCACAAGACAACTGATTTCCTGGGACTTGTATAAGATTTCTGAGTTTATCCACTGATTTTCTCTAAGCCAGGGAACCCTCAGGAAATTATTTTCACAGAAGGAAAATACAGACCAAGTATTTTTTAAGCATCAGGGACTAAACAATGCATTTGCAGTGAAGAGTCAACAGTTTAAGTGTTGAAAAAACAAACAAACAAAAAAAAAAAACTTATGTTCCTTCACACATGTACACATGGATCTGCATTTTTTCCGTGGAGAAAACTTTATATACAGCTGAAATAACTAAAGGAAGTAAGGATTTATTTTTATATACTTTTAGTAAGATCTCTTTTAGCATAAATAATTCTTCAGCTGTGCAGCTGATGGGTGTCCAGAACATTCATTCATTTTCTTCATCAAATAAGAAAAATAGGTAAAGTTCAGAGTATGATATCCTTCCCCCCTCCACATGTAGACCTCACAAAGATGCTATTTACCTTGTAGCTTAGGCAGAAGAAGCAAATAGTTTTAGATCAAGGACATTCATTAAAATATTCGGCAATAAATTTAAATAAAATTAAGAGAATTCTCCTTCTTCACCAGTTCCCTAGTGATGAAGAACCTTCTTCACATCCTCCAAATTGGAAGAGTGATGGGAGGAGGGGGAGAGGACAGACTACATAACCAAAGAAACAGATTACATAATGATTGGTTCCCCCTTATCAACCAGCAAGCCACCCCACAACTTGTGCTATCATTCCTGGACATGTAGTGAGGGACAATAATTTCCTTAAAAAGAGAAAAACATCCTTTTATTCACTCATCTAGTACCTCCCTAATTTTTCAGTTTTGGAACGAAAAAAAATGCTCCTACGGAGCAGATTTCTTAAAATCCTCTTTCCCTCATGAAAGAGGAATATGTGGAATTCTAAACTTCAAATAGTGAGTGCATTTATTCAAAGACAAAAAATCTGCAATCTACCAGAAGACATGAAATACAAGACAAAATATTTTAATATTTACAGCCTCGGTACAATCAACCCCGAAGTGTAGTGTTAAATGAAATACTGCCTAGTTTACCCACCAATGCTTAAGTAAAGCGCTATCCAAAAAGCGCTACCGCTTGGTAGTCCATTTTCTACCAGCTAGCATCAAAGCCAGTGACTTACGTAGCACCAAGAATTCCCTACCTAGCACTGTCAGTCTTTTCCTGAGATAGAACAACCAAAGCTCTCCACTGAGATCTTGAAAAATATATTTGGGGAAAAAAAAAAAAAAAAAAAGACAAATTTTTGCAATGATGTTTCTCTTGTGCAGTAAGTGGAATCTAAGAAATCATTTGCTTCCTAACAAGAAAATAAATTACTGAAGTACAGAAAAAGCAGCCTGAAGTGTCAGACTAGTCTTTGTGAGCTAACCTAAGCTCTTAAAGGGTGGTTAAACATGCACTTTATTTGGGCCAGTGTTAAAGCATACAAAAGTTCTTTGCTGCTTTGTTTTCAGTGACTTCTCAACTCGCTAAAATATGTAGATATAAAACTGTTGATGTTTGCTGGAAATCTTCCTTAATGAGCGAAAGCATCAGATGCATCTAGAAGAGTGCCAGCTCTGAATCAAGGACATAACTTACAGCCTATGCCAGTTCAATTTGAAAATCTGCACACATTTTTTCCTTTCAAATAGATGGAGACCCATAACTGTGCTATACAGAAAATCATCATACATTTTTTATCTATTCATTGTAAAACAAATGTTTTCAGACATTGCAAATTTTTGCTAGAAGAGAACTAATCTGAATTCCATTACTGGAGCACCTAACAACCACACCAGAAAGTGCAGAAAGGCATCCTCTCCTCTTTGGAAATCAACAGCTCAACACCAAGAGAAATCCTTTTTAAGCTATGTCTCTTTGCACATTACATGGGGGTGTGCTTGTGCATGACTCCTTTTGCACATGCATCTAGCACACCTGTGAATGCAACTATCTATAGTTTCCACAGTGCACAGATTAAAAATGAGAACTACTGATTCTGGCACGTTGGCAAGTACACACACACATTAAAACCTTAACTTAATATCTGAGCATCTTCTAAAAGGGCATCCAGCAACATGATTCATACCAACCATGTTACCTGCACAGGTAAGGTCAGCAATGTTCCTACCAATGAAAGTACAGATTAAAATGAAATTTATGATGATTCTTAGCTCCTGGGGGAATTGCAAAGTCTTGAAGTGATCCCCAATAATATTCTGTGTCATGCAGAGACTATGTTTTAACTCAACCAAAGAAACATAGCAGGATAATGACACTTTCAGCCAAATTTTCATCTTGGAGCTTTAGACAACGTTTAGATTGGAAGAATCCATAAGAGGAATTCTCTGGGAATCTCTGATTAACATAAGGTTAATTTTCATCACATAGCAAAATAGCATGAAATAGCCTCAAGAAGGAAACAGAATATAAAGGAAAAGGAAAAATCACATTCAACACACAGAAGGAGATGTGGCTAACTTTACAACAGGCACAATAGTTTTACAATAAGGCACTTGTAATTTCTGGTGCCAAGAAAGCTCCTCCTAAAATTACCTAAACTCTTAAACTCCACGGAGCACACATTTTTTCTTGTTTTTATGCTCCATATTTTAATTCTACTGATTTCTACTGATGGAACTTTCCAGTAATAACTTTGATTTAAAAAAATAAAATAAATAAAATAAAATAAAATAAAATAAAATAAAATAAAATAAAATAAAAATCTGTCTTTATAGAGCAAGCCTAAAACAAGAGAAAACAAACAACAGTACTGGTCTTCCAAGGATTGGTGAGAGAGGGATCTCAGACCTACAGCCATGCATTATTGATACGAATCTGATTAAACATGATGAGGCATAAAAACGAAATCAAACACCCCTCCCCCCAAACAAACAAACAAACAAACAACATTTTCCTCTTTGTCTTCCGACCCCAGTACAATG